TTGCAATGCAATTATTATAGTATTAGGGTGGTGTAGTGTGGGGCTTCGCTCCCCACGGGTCTGTGTACTATAAATTATTTCAGCACCCCCTAAATTCACACCCTATGTGCGCCTATGGCTCCATCGCCCTCCTCATAATACCACCCACTGAGTATAGTACTAAAATAACTAATAATAAATTTAAAATATTATTATAATAGGTACTACATAGAATTTATCATAATATAGGTATATACTATTGACGTATTGACTATTAAGCATTTGCAAAATGATTATAATTATTGGACCATTAGATCCGATTCTTTAAGATATCAGTGATTACGTAACTATAATTTATCATCATCACAATCTAAAAAAATCAATGTTATCAAATAATAAGTTAAATGATAGCTACTTACCAATAAAAATTAGTTACGTTACCTCTTATCACATTAAGAAAATTATGTTTCTATGAGAAATACTCAAACAGCGTTTATCCATATTAAAAAAAAAAAGGAAACCATTAAAATAATTCAACCCTCAAAATTATAGGATATTATAATTTAAATTTTCCCAATAAAACATATCGAAGTGTAAAATGAACTGTTTTTCTTCACAGTAGGTACTTTATTATATCTTCAAAGAAAGAAGAAATTTAAATTCGGGACATAAACTTCTAAATATTAGACCAATTCATTAGTGAAGTTAGAATCAATTAATAAAAATTTTTAAATATTCGGTGTTGGAAATGTATTAATTGCATATAATTAATACATTTACGACGTCTCAGTTGTATCCTTAGCATTTGTTCTAAACACTGATATGATGATAACATAAATTAATCCTTAAACACGCACAACTTATTACTAAAAATCAAAAGATATGAAAATAAATATTGGTATAAAATTGGTTAAACAGGTTTACAGAATGTTCTACTACGGAGAGGTAACCTTATATTGAACTACCGTCAAAGCATTCAAAAAGTTTATTGTAAGTAGGTAGTAGAAGTAGGTACCTAGGAGTATGAAAATAGCTACTCTTGTAAACAAATATTTTTCAAGCACGGTATTGTGTAAGCCAAATTAAGCAGTAGATAGTTGCCAGGTTAAGTAGGTACTGGATTATTCGAATAGTCTACTTACTATGGGTATAATTAATTAAGAATACAAAATCGAACACTACCTATACCTATTAATATTATAATATGATAGATAGGTAGGATATTAAAAAACAGTATATATCTAGCGGAATAGAGTACATATCTTCGTACATAAGTATTTTTTAAATGCATATACATTATAATATGGTTTTAATATTATTAAAAATATCATTAAATTTGGATACGATAGATACATTCTATTCTATATAATAAATTATAAAATGATATAATATTAACTTCAACTAATTTATTTTAACTCACTAAATTGAATTAATTTAATTCATCAAGTTGCTCTGCAGCCTTGGGAAACTATTATCTATTTGGCGGTGCCACAATATATACACATATTGTCATTTAATATTAATAATTTCGTATTATATGATATCCTTCCTCCTCTTTCTACGTCAATCATTTTTATTTTTGAATTATGCAGTATGTGAGGGCAACATAACTGGGTACAATAAAAATTCCAAGCCTGTGAATTGGATATCTTTTATAAGCCACCAGCAAATTCGGAATTATTTTTAAATATCTGAATTGGTTAAATTAAAGCGTTTAATACTTATTAACTTGTAATGTAATTTAAATCTTTAAATATAATTCCTATTTCAATAATTTGATATTTCCCAACTAGGTATCATTGCTTGATATGAATACCATAATAATTATTACCTATACGTAATATCATTGATTTCCTAATGTAATAAACTATAAAAAAAATATTATGGTATAATAATATAATACAGAGTACAATTTATTGTATAACAACTGCGAAAGTGTATGCTGGCCTTCGTATTATTATTATTGTTAAATTGTTTACTTTTAATTTGACATTTTATATTTAAAAATGACAATAATGTGTTTCAGACAAAATTATTAACGAGTTAATTAAAAGACTTTTTTATAACTCTAGTTCGTATTTTGTATGCCATTGATTATTTACCTACTTCTAAAATATATCAGGTTTCTGAGCTATGATGACCTTAAACCTTTAACACAAAATAATAAATTGGATACAGAACTACAAAAGTCAAAACTTAAAATAATACCAGATCCCATATATTATATATATATATATATATATATATATATATATGTTAACAATAAATAAAATAGTTAACAATAAAAATATACCTATAATTTCAATTAGTGCATAGTAGGGGTCAGGGGTCGATAAATGTGGGCTGGGAAGGAAAATGTTTGTGTAAATAGGCTACTCTAATTGTGTAATCCTAACTACGTACCTGCGCAAGTGGTTTAGTTTTACTGGTAACTGGTAAAAAAAAAAACCAAAGGAAAAAATATCCATAAAAAAAGACCTGTTAGAAATAATACCTAAAAACCCAAAAAAAATTGTGATATATGTTTTATAACCCATAAAAAATATTGTTGCTAATATAAAATAATATATAAAATATTCTTATAATGTATTTTTTAGGTACGTTTTTATTGAATATGATATATAAATATACATAGGTATATATGTTTTTATAAGATATTAAACCATACGCTAAATAAACAAATTATATTACATTACATTAGGTATATTTATAACTATTACTTAATTCGTCAGTTATGCAACATGCAATTATTTCTTAAATATTTTTTCATTTGATTATCATTTTCGTCTATTTTATTTTTGCGTTTCATCCTTTAATATTTTACTGGATTAAGTTTTACTGTTTTATCCGTTAAACTATTTTATTACTTTAGAAAACTCCGTGTAATTTCAGACAGTGTTGTATAAAACTCAAGTAAATTTATTTTAATACTTATAAGTACTTAAATCTACTAAAAACAGTCCAAATATATTGGAATAAATAGTTTAAAATTTAAATAATTTAAATGATACATTTCTAGTCAGTGCCATAAACGCCTGACATTATTGGTCAATATTTTGTGTAAATTATATTTAAACTTATTAATGATTTGAATTACTTTATTTTGTCACTAAAAATGGTATTCATTATACATTTTCAATACTATAACACTATAAACTTCAAAATGTCTTTCGACTAAGGCACTTGACGTACTAAATCGCTAAATCGTAAATCAATAACCAGCCTTAAGTTGAATTGTTCGTAAGCCCATCAAGTAAAAACCAATTAGTATTTAAATGTATCTGCACAGTATATGTGACAATTATATCATATTTATTACCTATGTCAATTTATGCTTACCTACTATATAATAGGACGCAATCAGAATACAGAAAAGGTAGGAAAAAAATCGTTTACCTGCGTCCGGGACGCAATCGACGAATTCCGCTTGAGCAGATACTTAAAAAAAAATATGTATAGGTATATATCTTACAATACTGATCCGAGCAGGCAGTAGTACAATGCAACGTCATTAGGTATCTATAGTAAATGGAACATATTTAACAAATTACTCGTATTATACATTGTTCTTTTATATATTAACTGAATATCTTTTATGTTTGATGGAAATTGAAACGTATATTTATGTTATAACTTTAGGATATATCATATATGACAAGACGTATTCAACAACACGGAATGTTTATAACTAAATATAACGGAAGTACCAATAGTCCTTCCCAAATCCAAGCAGGTAACCATATTATACTGTATTTCAGATGTATAATATAAGAATAATTAGTATACACACTGCAACTACAATTATTGCAGAAAATAAAAGATTATATACATTTGTAACGAACACTGGTTAAGACGATCATAAGTTATAACAAAATTGAGAACGAAACTATGTATAATTTTTTAAGTATTAAATTAAAGTATTTGTTGATGGTCCATATTCCATTCATTATCATTACTTAAGCTATTCATCCTTATAGTAGGTACTAAAAAATGAAATATAAAACAATTCCATTCATATAAATATTTTATAAGTACAACTAGAACAGAAGATATCTATCTTCAATCGTGCTAACTGTTTCGTTAACAAGATAAATTATGATTAATTTATTTTGAATACATTTAAACTTTACTGTCAGCGTACGTCTTACGAGTATTAATCGATCAATTTTATGTCTGTATTTCAAGAATAAATCAACTAAGTCCTCAATGGCTATGTAGTTTAAATTCTAAATACTGCAGGATGTTATATGGGTACGCTGAACACATATACAATATAGGTTATGAAAATGATTTAGATTACTACTAAAATAATTGATATTGAAAATATATGTTTAATATTCACCTGATAGTTTTGCGCTACTCCACGAGCAAAGGAAGGATTCGTTTCTAATGGCTAGAACGTACTGAACTATGAGTTATGAACGTTTAAATGAACAATATAGTGACCCACCGTATTTTAAATGAAAATTGATTCTGGTGGTGGCACAATATAAACTGGTCGTCATTAAATTAAACGTAAATTCTGTCCCGTCACCCTACTTGACTAGTAATATACTTTTATTCTGACAATAAAATATGACATATATTGGTGAAAACCGCAGATGTCGACTAAAACAGTAGTTGTAAATTACAATTTGTATTTGGTGTATACTAGAAATAGGTTAGATCGTCGCTAGTCAATTCTTCTGGAAATTCCACCATTGACTAAATATTTCTCCACTCAATATTTTGCAGATGCAGACAATTGTTTGATACCAATAATTTTTTTTTTAAAATACATTTGAAACTCTGGTTTATTAAAATTCCATTTTGTCCCGTATTTTTTTCTATTTTTTTTTTAACTACAGATAAAGTTTTGATTAATGTATCGTGTTGTGTTTTGAGTCTAATGCATTATTAATGATCTCTACTGCTATAAAACCGCAATTGGAATGGAATGAATGAATGCTGAATTTATTTCCATTGAATTATCTTAAATGAAATGTTTAACTTCTTTAATAGAAATAGCATCATTTGAATATAATAACTGTATTACTCTTTTTATTTCTACATAATGTTCACAGCAGTAGGAAGCGGTTTTTATCGGGTTATCATGGATTGATAAGGTAAATAAATACCTAGAGCTTTTTCTTTAAAAAGTTCACTGCCACGAGTACCATTTTTGGTACTCACGTGGTATGCATCCTATAGCTAAAATACTAAAATACTACAAAATGTAAAAATCAAAAAAAAAATCTCTATTGTATTTTTTTTTTTTTGACTAATGCAACGTAAAAAAACAATCTAAACACAGAGGCTTAGAACAACTGATACACATAGTTTGCACTTTTCGAGTGACTTTTTGTGAATGCTGTCTGGCACTTTGCATCACCATCTCATTCGTAACATCTTTCTCTCTTGCATGTAACTAGCTTATGGTTTTCTCCTTATTTGGGATATTTGAGATTTTTGTAGTAGTGATTTTAGAATTTGCATACTATTTGCACAGTATCGTAAGGCTGCGCTGCGGACCCATTATTAGTAAGTTGTGAACAGTAATGCTGTAGTCGCTAGCGTTTGGCCGACGGCGCGATATTCTAATATTAACTAATTAGTAATAAGCGTTTATCAAAGATTTTGGCTTCGAGTATAAATAACTCAATGGCCCGACGTCTCATACGCTCTCACTCACAAACACACACACACACACACGTGCTAATAATGGTGTGAATTATTTAATTATTAATTTCCAATTGACATTTGACAGTCGAATGTATTGTGATCGTGACACGTTCTGTTATGTTTCTTCTATTACACCATAATGTCGAGAAAAAATGTTCTTTTTTTAATCGTAATAATATGCGAAAAAATTCCAAAACCAGATTTCACATCTTTCCTTTGGATATTAATTTATTGGTAAATTCATTATTCCGCATTAGACTATTCCGCATATACCTTTTCATTCACACGATTCCTATGCATAGGTGCAAAT